CCGAGCCCCCGCTCCGCGCCCAGTCCCACCCCAGGCCCGGGCCTGACAAAGAAAGCGCCTTACGTTTCTCCGCCCCCCGCCCGCATCCCCCGGGCCGGGCGCCTGTATTATACTTTGTACTTTTGCCCAAACGTGTAAATAACAAAAGTTTTGGCTTTTTTCTTTAGAAACTGGCCACCTGCTTCCCCCGCGGGGGCCGCTGGAGGAGGGGCAGCCGACCCAGCAGTTGGGGGCAGCGCCAGGGGCCGGGGGCAGCCTGCGTTTAGGCTGGGTCCACTCCCCTCCTTTTCCGTTCCTTTTATTTAAGTCGTTTTATTTAATAAAAAAGTTAGCTATTTCACTTAACGCCGCTTTTATTTCGTTTTCGTTTCTATAATGCTCGGCGACCCCCGGCCCTGCGCCCCACCCCTCCGGCGGTAGAAGCCGAGCGGCGGTGCGCCGGAGCGCGCCCACTTCTCCGAGGTTCATCGGTATTCGGCTCAGCTCGAACCCCCGCCCGGGGCCCCGCGGAGGATGCGCGGTGCAGGTCAGTTCGTGCCGGCCGCACGCAGCCTGGGTGCCCGCGGCAAGGGGAGTGGACGTGGGAAAGACGCTCAGGCCCGACGGCCGCAGACCCGCGCCGAGGAGAGCTGGGGAGCGAAAGGCGCGGCTCGGGCCGACGCTTAGGCGGTCATCAGGCCAAATTCACCTGTCGGGGGAGAGGCGGGTGGCTCCGAACTTCTCGGAACTCAAGCCGTAACGCGGAGACTCCTCCTACACCCCCGCAACCCGCTTTCCGCTCTGTTTTTCCTGCGGGGCCTCAGAGAGGCCCGGGCCCGACTCCCAGGCCTGGCGCTGGCGGATCTGGGCACACCGTGGGTGAGCAGTGCGCGCAGAGCCTGTGCTTTTCCTGGGCCTCCAAGCGCTTGGGGAGCAAGCGAAGCGCACATTCCCAGGACCCCGGCTCCCTCCCGGGTTTGCTTGGGGCCCTAGGTGGAGCATGACGTCATGTGACGCCACAGCAGCCTCCTATACGTCACTGAACGGGAGGGGGCGGGACGCTCGGAAAGCAGAGGACCCTGAGCCCGGGTGTGGTAGCGGCAGGGCCAGGTCTACGCAGCTTTACCGGCTCAGGAGTTGGAAGTTTCGGGATCGGGAGCGGGTGGCCCCTTCCAACAAAGATAAACACACACTCGAAACGTCCGTGAAAATTCCCTCTTGCTCTTTGCTTTTTTTCCTTTTACCATTCTCCTTTTTGGTCTTTTAAAAACTTTTCTTATTTTCTGTCCTCTCCATTTCTTTCTCTACAATGTTGTCTATTTTCTCTATTTGTTGCTCTTGGTTTCTGTGTTACTGCATCTTTTTTCTTTTCGTTATAGTTTTACGTTTATATAGTTTGTTCTGTATTGCTTTAATTTCTCTGAGTCTGTTTCTTTGTCATATCCTCTCTTCCTCCCTTTCCTCTCCCCATTCCGGACTCTGATCCTTTATCTCTCCGGGTTTCTCTCTCTTCCCCACCACCCTCTCTTCTTGTCCTTTTCGTTTCCGTCTCTGGCCTCTCAGAATCTCTTTGCCTCTACCTCTTTCTTTGTCACCTCTCACTTTCTTCTCTCCCGCCATCCCTCCCTCCTGCAGACCTGGCTCTCAGTAGCTCCCTGAGGCTAAACACTTTCGGAGCAGTGTCCCAGAGGCCCCAAAGCAGCCGCACCCGCCTCATCCCACTGCCTCCCTCGGAGCCAGGCGCCACCACGCGGGCTCCGGTGCTTTGGAGCCTTCGTTATACGCGGGCTGGGGAATTGTCTGCATCTGCAGGGCTCGAGGAAGGAGAGGGCGTCTAAGAAACACACCCAGAGCTCCTGCCCTCACCTCCACCCGCAAACCCTACTAATCCGGAATCTGCGTCTCTGTGGACAGACACCCTGGGGAGGGACTGGGTGACTCAGAACTTTGGGTCTCTTCCGTGGGAATCTTCCTGAAATGCTTTTATTTTCTCCGCTAAAAAGCCCGATGAACGCCGTCATAGAGATGGGAAGCTTGGCCCTTCGGATGCGGATGAGACCTTCTGTGCCTTTGCTGGGCCTTTCCTCGGGGACTAGAGTAGCTTTCCAATTCCCCTGTTTTACTCTATTGCTCCATAGTAAGGCTAATGTTTTTGTTTTTCTAAACTACTTTTATTGCTTGCCTCGATTCACGGGCCTCTTTGGGGACACACACACTTTGTCTTTATCTCTGGCGCCTGGCTTTGCTCAAAAGGCCTCTGAGAGGCCCGTCCGCGGTCAGCGTCCAGGCAGGCCGGTGGATGGGGACCTATTCTCGCTGTGGCCCTCGGGGGCACTAGCTTTCCCTCACCGGTGCCTTCGCGCTTTGCTCCCACCAAGCCTTGCGGACCCAGGGACAGGCTAGCGGTCTCTCCGAGTCAGGGAGCTGAGCCCACTCGTGTAGGGCCAGAGCAGTGTGGGCGCCCCCAGCGGGTGGGAACCATTGCCGAGCGATGCAAGGGCATTTAGCACCTAACCCGCTCCTCCCGATGTGCGAAGCAGCTAGGTCTTCGTGGGACTAGAGTTCGAGGGCACCCGTTAAGGGACAAAGTTCCCTGTCCTCCCCACCAGTAGGGTTGTGGGGCAGAGTCGGGGAGCGGTAATATCCGCATTGGGCAGGCTCTCCTGAGGCTGAGCTTGAGAGAAAAAGAATCTGAAGCAGGCTGGGAGCCCCACACGGGCGTCCCCTTCACGATCGTCTCCCAGCATTAGGTCCCATTTCGGTCGGTAGAGGCAGGCGGGTGAGTGTGGACGCCCAGCCCAGCCACTGAACGAACTGAAAACGAGAAGCAGCCGGCCTCTGGGCACGGGCTGGAGACGTCGCCTCGCCGCCCTTCCCCATGGCCTTCCTCAGCCTCGGTTCCAGCCTCTCGAATGTCGCGCCCATTTTACAGATGCAGGACAGGGAGACAAGAGGCATCTTCGCGGCTCGAGCGGACTGGTCGCGCGGGGAGAACCCTGGTTTCGGGGCTGCGCCGCTGCCCTCCGGGCAGACGGGGAGGCCTGGCCCTAAGGCGTCCGCAAGCAGGCGCGAGGCTCCCAGGTGCGGGCGGGGAGTGAGGCCGCGCCCAGCTCTCCCTGAGGGGCCCCGCCACCAGTGAAGTCTGGGATTGGGGGACGCATCGGGACCGGCCCAATCAGAGCCCTCGAGAAAGAGAGCCGAAAACGGGGCCGGCCGCTGGCTTCCCGCACGTGGGAACGGTTCTCCGGCAGCAGCTCCTGTGCAGCGCCGGCCCGGGGCCGGGAGTTTTGCCACCAGTGCGTGATTTACGACAACTCGCACAACACCTGCGAGGTTTGGATGATGCCCACTTTGCAGATGGGAAAACTAAGTCTCGAAGAAGCTCAGAAATTAGTTTTGGGTCGCGTGGCGGCGGCCGCTCTACGCTCTCGGCCGCAAACGAAGCGCGCTCTCTAGTGCTGGGAGGGGAAGGGGAGCTTGGCGTAGTGAGGGATGGGGAGGCGCCCTTGGGGCGCTGCAGCCACCCTGACACTAGGCCCCGAGGTTTCGGTGGGGCAGAAGGGCCTGCCCGCTCCGGCTTGGGCGCTGGATTCTGGCTCCGAGTTCAAGGGCTCTCAGCGCCTCTCCTCTCCCAGGCTTGCGCTGGCCCACAGTGTGCCATCCGTGTGGAAGCGGGGAGACTTAGCCGCGGCCGCCCCAGCTCAGAGGGGAGCCCCGGAGGCCCCGCTGCACCTTGGGCCGGGCAACCTTTGCCCGCCCGCCCTGGCAGCTTCGCGAAGGGTGGCGCGCAGTTGGGGCCTGGAGCGGTTCTCGAGGACCTGCGGTGGAAGGACGCGGCTGTGCCCGGGCCGGTCCGGCCTCCGGCTGCTCCGTTTCGGCGGCCGTGGCCCGGGCTGTAGCAAACGGTGCGCGCTCGGTTCCGCCGCCGCCGGGCCGTGTGCTCCCGGTTAGGGGCCGCGGAACTGGGCCTCCGAATTCGCGCAGAGACCGCCGCGGGGCAGAGCTGGGCCTAAACTGGGACCGCGCAGGAGGTTCCTGGGAACCTTTGCCAAAACCCCAACCTCGGCCTAACTAAAACCCCTGTGCGCCAAGGCCGAGAGCGGCTGGCGCAGTGCAGGCGCCTGCTTTCGGGAGCGGGGAAAGGTGCCCAGCACCGACGGCGGCTTGCGTTGAGCGAAACCCACCCACCCCACCCCCGTTTCCCAGCACCCGCTCGCTGCCGCTGCCGAGCGTCTTCTCTCCGCTACGCCCAGACCCAGGCGCACACTTCCTTGGTTCAGACACTCGCGACGTCTTCGCGGGATTGCTGTAGTGAGCGGTGTGTTCCCTCGCGCCACCCCGCCGCCGTTGGCACGGAGTCCCCGCTCAGTTCTGTGTCCCTTGCTGTGTAGCCCCGAGCGAGTGGCTTCGACTCTCTGTACCTTGGTTTCCGAAACTATAAAATTAGTGGTTAGTAAAGACTCTTCCAGAGAAAGTAAAAAACAAAAGTCATGGCGTATGGCACAGTTGATTATCAATTCGTTATGAAAATAAGTAACTTAAAAATATTTTTTGGATAAAAATCTAATTACACGCCTCGTAATAACATAGGGGTTTAATGAGATGTTTCTCTTTTGGAGGAAAGGGCAGCAGTGAGGCAGTGTCCCCCACTGCCGTCTGTTCTCCTCAGGTCACTGGTGGCACAGTCACCTCGGAAACTGGCCTGGCTTGGCCTGGTTTGACTTGTCAGTATCCTGGCGTTACCCTGAGGTCGATGGCCACATCGGCCCTTCACTTCAGTTAAAACGAATGCTGTTCTTGGGTCACACCGGCTGCTAAGTAATGAGTTAGTTATTAAACTCCTTTGGTATGCTCCCAATTGGTGCGGAGAGGACGTGGAATGGGAGAAGAAAAAAACGTGTTTGAACAGAATATTTGAACAAATTTTTTTGGTTTGCTTCGTCTTGTTCTTAACGT